AGCTTTTTATTGTGATCTGGGTGAAATTTCATAAAGCAGATTTGTTTGACATTCAACAATTCATACATATTTTGTTTTGTAACATGAATTACAATCCACACAATATAACAACTCTCCTTCTACTTCTTCCCTGGGGTTCCCCTCCCTGTGTCTTTCCCGCCAGTGCATTCCTGCCTCCCAAGCTTTCTCCCTGCGCAAACGCTGCTTTTCTGGTCTCCTGTGGCTGACTCTTCTAAAGGGTGCATTTTCCCTTTAGAAGTTGTTCAGCTCATAGGCCTGTCTATTTGGTTGAAAGTTAGCTACAGGAGTGAGTCCAATTAGAGGCCAGGAGTGTGACTAGAGGTCATAGCCTTAGGGATTTTACCAGTCACTATCAGGCAAGTAAGTCTGGTCTTTTATGTGTGTTTTTTTTTTTTTAAATTTTGTTTCACATTTTCTCCAACTCTATCCAGGATCTCCAATTTTGATCCTTTCCTGAGTGGTTGGCAGTGACCAAGTACCATTTAATTCTTCTGGTCTGAGTCATATAGGCTGACGTTATCATGGTCCATTAGTCTTTTGGACTCATTGTTGCCACATCTTTGCTTTTTTTTTTTTTTTCACTCTTCTTTGTTCCGAATGAGGAGAGACCAGTAAGGTACACCTTATTTGACCACTCGCAGGCTTTTACCTTCGCTACTCACCAAAGTAGAATGTACACACTGTTTTTGTGCACTATATTGTGCCAATTGACTTGATGTCCCTACAACTATGGTCCTAAGCCCGCAGTTCCAGGGACTCTCTCCCTCAAAGTTCTTAGTTGTGGCTAAGAAGTTATCTTAACTTTGTTAGTTCTATTGTATATGGTCATTTTTATAGCACATACAAATATGAGCTCCTATACAAATATGCATGTAGGAATATCGTTCAACCAATTCTTTTTGGTACAGTGACTCTGTGAATCTCTTCCATCTTCTTTTGATGCTTCCTGTGTTGTTCAATATTTGGCCCCTAGAATCTTTCAATATTCCAGTTGGAGGTTTGAATTTTTTCTTCAGTTCTTTCAGCATGAGAAATACCAAGGATGCATTTCTCTTTTGGCTTTCTAACTCTAGTTTTTTGCACACTTCATTATAATACTTTGTCTTCTTGAGCTGCCCTTTGAAATCTTCTGTTCGGCTTTGTTAGGTTTTAGTTCTATGTATAGCAGAAAACCAAAAAAAAGCCAAACTCACTGCAATTGAGTTGATTCTGATTCACAGAGAGCCCCATTGGGTTTCCGAGGTGGTAAATCTTTATAGTAGTAGAGTTCTCCATCTTCCTTCCCCGGAGCAGCTGGTGGATTTGAACCACCGACCTTCTGGTTAGCAGTCAGATGCCTTAGGCACTGCACCACTAGAGCTTCTTATGCACAGGAGAGTCTTCACTAAAAAAGTTACTGAAATATATCCACTTGCTAACCAAACCAAACTCACTGCCGTGGAGTCGTTTCTGACTCATAGCATCCCCTCCTTGGGTTTCCAAGGTGTTTTCTCATGGAAGTAGATTGCCCAGTCTTCCTTCTGAAGAGTGGCTGGTGGGTCTCTTTAAAAAGAATTAATAGCTTTCCATATGAGCACTAATTAAGTCAGTATAATTCAATAGAATAAAATCAATGATTTTTTCAGTTGGCACTTTCTATTAGTCATATTTTTCTCTAATTAAAACCCTACCACCAGGCCATGACCTATATAATGATTTCTTCATTAAACTCTCAACAAATAATACCAACAATGAGAATGTATGCTAATTTTAAAGAGTTTCAAAGAACATTATTTCTGGGCATAATAAAGCTGGATGGCATTTGTAAATGTCTCTTTGTGATGTGGTCAATTTCTAGTTCAATTGTTCAAATGTATAATTGTCAATAATTTATTGCTTTCAGGGTACAGAAGTTCTACCAGAATTTGTAATTAGTTACATCAGGGAATTTTTATAAGAATGCCTAATTTTATTTTGATTATCTCTGTGTTCTTCTTTCCCTTTAATAATATCCTTTAAATTAAATTCATCACCTAGATACAGCAGCAATATCCTGAATCATGATATAGAATTTTGGTCTCTGAGTTCAAATTTCAGTTCAGTCACTGACTTTGTATTCTAATCAAGTCCAAATCATTGCATCTTTCTATGTCATCACCTGTGCCCATCCAACACCTATGCTCAGCAGGGAACATAAACTGCCTGGAGTATAACACACTGTCTCCTGTTGTAGTTAGTTGGTTTTATTTGTTGACAACAAAGTATTGATGGACTGTAACTCTAAGAAGAAAGCTATAAATAACAAAACAAGCTGATTTTAAAATACCTGTTAAGTAACTTCCTGTACATATTTGGGTTATTATCTCAGTTTCCCTCGCTTTAAATTTACTTCTATAACAACAGCAATTGGTAAAATGCAATAAATGTACATTGATAAATATTCATTAGACACTTGGATAACCTCATTCTTTAATGAAAATTGAAATTGTAAATAGTATGTTACATATCATAAGGAGCTATTTCAACCACAAAAATTATTTTCTGGTTCAGAATATTTAATCTGAGAACTTCTAATCTTTGAGCTGTGTGATTTGAGACTGTAGTGTATATCGATGGCAGTGAGTTTGGTGTATATATATATA